ATATCCTTAGCAGGCTTGCCTCAAATATTACCTCCTTCTTCTATTTGAGAAAAAATATGAGTTCTTTGATTTCATAGCTTCCAATCTTTTTTCAATTCAGTGGCTAACTCAGTGTCTTCAAAATAATCTATAATAATTCTCTCAACAATTTTTTCTAAGTTTTCTTTGCCTTCCCATTTATAGTCATACATGAGACTATGTTGAAAGCAAACAGCCATAAACTGTTGTCTTAGGGGTTTGCTAATCAGTTTTCTTAGATCTTGTTCAATATTCTTACTAGAATGAGGAAATCTATTTTTCATATCTACCAATATTTGGTGAATTTGGTCAGTTGCTTCTTGCTTAAATTCAGCTTCTTCTTGTTCACTTCTCCTAGATTTTTAATTCAGTAATTTCTTGTTCTTTATTGGATAATTGCTTTTTCAATGTTTCAATTTTGTTGATTAGTTCTTTATTTGCTTGTTGTTGTTCTTTTAGGATGCTTGTCATGATTTCTTGATTATTCCTTTTTTATTTATTCTTTTAATATACTTATATCCTTAGGGTATGGTTAAGTATATAATTATTTTAGTACTTTTTTACTTTAAATGTGGAAAAAATCCAACAATATTTGTCAAAAGATTAAACTTACTAAACTTAATGACAGTAAAAAGTCATAGAGGTGATTTTATTCTAAATACAGTCAAAGCTCTCTATAACGAACCTCCAAAAACTGAACTGCTCTCTATAATGAACTAAGGTGTTGGTCCCGATTTTTTGTTAATTAATTTTGCTTTGTATAACGAACTTTATAATTAAATTCTCTATTCTGTATAATGAACCGCTTTTGAAAAATCATATGACAAATTTACATATAAAATGGTGCTCTCTATACTGAACTTTATGTAACACAAAAAAATTTATCATTGACATATTTTTTCCCATCAATTAAAAAAAAAAATTATTATTATTATTATTATTGATATAAAGTATATTATACTGACTTCTTTCTTTAACTATAATGAAAACAAAATTAATATTAACATTATACAAGTGATAGAATATAATTGTTTATTAATTGATTGTTTACACACTATGTCTCTTTTGTTAAATCATTAATGAATATAAAGAAAATAAATACCAATTTTTATTAAATATATAAAATATCCACATGCAAATTTTTTTTTAAAAAAAAGATATTTTAAAGTTCAACCAAATGTCAACTAAAAGAAGAACTACTTTGACAGCTTTACAAAAGAAAGAGTTATGTTTGTTGAAACAAAGGGATCTGAATATTTCTAACATTGAACTTGCAGATATATATAATGTTGGAAAATTACAGTAACTGAGATTTTAAAAGAAAAAGATAAATGGATTATGAATTGCAATTTTCATAATTATATTATGATCACATGACTATAAATGTGATTGATCAACACTTTCTATATAGTGAATGCTCTCTATAACAAACAAAAATTCTCAGGACAGGGGGTTCGTTATAGAGAGCTTTGACTGTATTCTATTCATTGCCAGTATATATTAGTCTTGGGCAAGTAATATCTTTGTATTCATCTTTCACAAATGGGCGAATATTCTGGTAAAGATATTCTTGTCTTTTGTAATCCAAAGGAGGTGGTGTTAACACTAAAATAGATAAAGCAATAAGCAATTAACAAAATCAGAAAAGTCGCTCTTAGAAAGATTCAAGTCTGTAGTAGATAAACATAAGAATATTGTTGCAACTAGTCAAAAACAGATTGCTAATGAAATTTGTCTAAATTATGGAATAGACATTGGCTTTAATCAATCTATTGTTTCAAAAATGTATAATGGCACATATATCCCTAAATGCAATCATACAATTGATGCCATTACTTTGTGGATTGAAATAGAAGAAAATAAATAGAATTATACTTCTTATTTATTATACTTATTATTTTTTAAATATTATTGAATAAACTCCAAACTTTTTTTAGAAATAAATATTGATGCAAAAGAATGCAAAATTATTCAAATACGCGGGTATCAAACTTCGAATATTCTCATGGGAAGTTTCACGGGGATCGGTAAATTCGTGGATAACTACATGATTATTCCAATATTTGGATATTTTCCGCCTTATTAATTAGTGTAACATTTATTAAATTGAACTGGTGTTTTTGCGATACTTGAAGTTAACATTGCACGATAAACAGGTTCATTTTTCATTCTTGCTAAATCTGTTTCCATCAATTCGTTTACTTCTTGTTGGGTCATTCCATGATAATCGCTTCCAAATTTTCACTTCGTGATATATGTTAGTTTCCCGTGATCTATAATTTACTATTTTACAGTAAGGCCTCAAGAATGGCAGCTAAATTAGCTGATAATGCTTCTCCATGGAGCTTTTGTTGACGAATTCTTTTAAACTTTTGGAGCCATCCAGCAGAAAATACCAATGTTCCATCTGGAATTCTTAAGCCATCTGCCAATTGCTTGGCTTTTCGATTAAAACAGCTTCACTTAAGATAGCTTTGTCTTGGTAAATTAAAACGAATTCCCTAAGAGCAAGTTCAAACTCAGGAACTGTTACAGATTTGTGTCTTTTAGCTTCGGGATTGGTGATTTCAGTGTTAAGTATATCATCACTTTTTTGCAATATTCTTGTTATAGTTGATTCATCTAGCCTAACCCCCATTTTTGTTCAATCCAATTTGCATATTCTTTTCTGGTCACTTTATTACTATTGCGAACATGTGAACAAAATTCAAATTTTTGAGAATCAGATAAAGTTATTTTACTTTTTGGAGGCATTTTATTCAAAGGTAATAAAAAAAATATAAATGTGGTAAGAACAAGAGTGTAAAATTAGATGTTTAAATAATGGCAAATGATTTTATTTTATTAAAAATTGTGATAATAGTAAGTGAATTTGTTTCTAAAAATTTTCATTCTTATCTTGCCATTTTATATAATAATTTCGCCTATAAAAGTTCCATCGTCTGCATTCTTATTAATAACTCTTTTTCATCAATTAAAAAAGAAAGAATACTTAATCCTTGTAAATAGCAAACAATTCAATTAATCCTTTATTTTATTTTCTGTTACTGTTGCTATGGTGCCGATCATCTAAAGACATCAAAATTTCAGCTAAACTTTAAAATGTATAAGCTCAATAACTAAGCAGGAT